GATTCGGTGGATTCTCTGAATGACTAGACTTTGAACATCATAGAGGATGAATACTGAAATGAGCTTATAAGTTCATACAGTTCTCCTGTTGAGAATCAGAAAGGTAAATGACAACTGTGGGCGTGAGAAAGCAAGGAACAGAATTGGGGCCTGATCTGCTATCATTGAGCAAAACGGTATACATTCAAGATTAGGAGAAGTTATTCCATTTAAGACCTGAATCTGACTTTCCTTCAGCTTCTTTTCATCTTTTACACAGAATATGCTATTTATAAATATGGGATTAAGTGGGAAACTAAAATTACCAAGACCCTGCTATATGTCAGGCATAATGCTAATAAATACTTTCCATATATTTCTCATTTTTAAAAAATTTCTATTTTTATTTTGTTGACATTATTATCACTATTATTTTTTTAAATGTTTATTTATTTATTTTTGAAAGATTGAGAGAGAACAAGTGGGGGAGCGACAGACAGAGAGGGAGACACAGAACCTGAAGCAGGCTCCGGGCTGAGCTAACAGCCCTAACCCACGAACCCCGAACATAGAGCTCAAACCCACGAACCATGAGATGATGACTTGAGCCAAAGGTGGACACCCAACCGACTGAGCCACCCAAGCACCCCTTATTCTTATTCTTACTGTTATTATTGTTATTATTATTATTGAAGTTATATATTTCTCCTTTAATCAACCACCTGTGAGATTACTTTATCCCCATTTTGCAGAAGAGGAAATTTAGAATATGAGAGATTAAGTAAACTGGTAGTTAGGTAAACTAAGTAGCTAACAGGTTATAAATAAATAGACTGAAGTTAGATGTTAGTGACTGTTAGATTAAATAAACTGCATGCTTCAAAACCCAGTTCCACCATTTACTGGTTGTGTGACCGTTATGGAAACTCAACCTTTCAGAGTCTCCACAGCATCATGGATAAAACAAGGGAAACATCACCTTCCTCATCATCTTCCTCAAGATACTGAGAATTTGTAATGAAACCAGGTACATACAGCACCCAGTACAATGTGTTAGCAACCCTTCCCTCATCTCTCCATTCTGTAACTTACAGCCTTGGCTTTTTTTTTTTTCTTTAATTTTTATGAAGGAGGCTGTTTGCTTGCAAGCCTAAAAGCATCTCTGCTACTAGGGGCACCTGTGTGGCTCAGTTGGTTAAGTGCCTGACTCTTGATTTCAGCCCAGGTCAT